TTTTTTTTTAAATCGTTATGACTTAACTGGTATGCAATTGTTAGTATTCAAATCCTCCTAATAGCTTGTAATCAAAGTTAGATTCACTTTTAGTTTTTAGATTTACCTAAAAATTTACCATGGTCAGGTTATGAGACGGGATGAATCGCATGTTACAAGGAGAACGTTAGTTATGAGTGTGGTACACCGGTAGAGGTAGACGTAGAAAGAGATGGATTGCGTGAAAGGTGTCATGATCAAAAAGGGAGTGATGACTGAGATGGCGTTTGATAGAGTTATTTGGAGGACAAAAACCTGTTGTGCCCACCCTACCGGAGTAGGATAAATGGATGGTGATGATTTGACCTAAAAAGTGATACACCTTTTCAGTTCTAACGACAATAAAATCTATACTATCATAAAAGAGGAAAAAATGTATGTTTTTGTATGTATTTGCTTCTCGTAAAACTACTGGGCCGATTTAAAAAATTCTTTCACCATAGTACATATAATTTATTTGTGAGTAACATTAACTTTTTTTATATATAATTCTACGCGAAGGAAATCGCAAGCATGTAGTTCGTTAATGATAAATGTTTTAAAAACCTTTCAAAAACGTTATCACAAGAAATTATATTCAATAAATCTTAAGTAAAAACTTACCTTTGTTATGAAAGTATTCTTTACACCTTCCAAAGACTTAGCAGCAACAACTACATTGAAAACTACTCGCCAGACCAAAGTTTGCCAGTAATTAAACATTTCAACAACCAACAACGCCCATCCGCGCCATCTTAAGTTCCAAAACGTCATCAATATCTGAGAATCCACATTAGTACTTTGTAATTCTAAACAGAAACTCTTTATAAAAATAAAGCGTTCGAAAGCCTTCAACATGAATCCCAATATATCACAAACATGCAGACAATCCCACCTTCTATTAGAAAGTCGGTTAAAAAACAACAAACAACTATACACCGAAATAACTAAAAAAAAGTACTCTTTAAACTATCACAGACCAAACAAACATTGAAAACAATTCCAAATCTGCTTTACAAGATTGGTAGAACATAAATGTTTAGCAATAAATAGCGAATAATCCATACAAAACATTTTCCACAAATACCCTAGCGATATTGACAAGAGAACAAAAGCATATAAGCTGAAGACTTCGACCTTATACTAAAAGCCAACAAGAGTCTAAAGCACATTGAGTGCATTGCATTACAAAAAATTACGACAATATTCAATTTTAAATTCTCATACAATTTTTATGTCAGTTTCTCCCGCGACTCCATCTGAGTGTAGTTAAAAAAACAAAAAGGAAGTAGCCCATATTCATAGCAAATTTCATCGAGATCCGTTCAGCAGTTTGTTACAAACATCCATCCATCTAAACTTGTGCATTTATAATATTAGTAGAAAGTATTATTTACTACATTTATACATCTTAGCCAAGTATATACACTATCAAAATATCTAGAGAGGTTATCGATTAAAATTTTATATTTTGGGTTACTGTTGTTTTTCTATGTATGACGTATAAACCTATAAGTAGGACAAATGTGCATATATTGTGTAAAAATGTGTATAATGTAAATAATGTTTTGTCCCGTTACCTTGGCGTCATGATGGTGTGCGAGCAGATCCGCGAGGCGCGCGTCGTCCAGCTGGCGGGCGAGCAGCCGGCGCGGGTTGAGCAGCCACAGCCGCTCCGGCGCCATCGAGTTCCACAGCACGCAGGGGAACCATAGCGCGACGCCGATCTCCGCGAGACGGAACACCACGTCGTGCCAGTTGCGGGACACCACCGGCACTCTACGCAACACATACAACTAAACTCACTTTTGCTCGCGAATTCGTCAGGGTAAAATTTAAAAATATAGCCTATGTTACTCACAGATAAATTACCTTTCTAACGGTTAAAGATTTTTTTTAATCGGCCCAGTAGTTTTTGAGCCTATTCATTACAAACAAATAAAGTTTTCCTCTTTATAATATTAGTATAGATAGACATTTTTGGTAATTCACGTACATCAACAGTAGTAGAGTAGAGCATTAACATCTTCGCAATATAGGACTCGCCCGGTGTAATACCACGACCACACAGAAGACAGACTTTGAATTTTTCACCAATATATGCAGGCATCACGATGTTTTCCATCACCGTAAGAACGTTGGGTAAATTATATATATTGAAATTCAAAAATCACATTGGTACATAACGGGATTCGAACCCAAGACCTGTAGTACTAGTCAAGTTCTTAAACCCCTGAACCACCAACTAGAATCTCTCATTTACTAAAAAGAAGCACCAATTAGGTAATCTAGGTACCCCACTTAATACCGATTGTAAATAAACACTTAAAACACAAATGATAAAGCCACATAACTACATCAACAATGTAAATTTTAGTATAAAAAATCAAACTTACTTGGTCTTCCAAAACTCGCTGAGGGTCTCAGAGGCGAGGAAACCAGCAATCAGTATCAGCATGAGAGCCTGGCTGACGAGGCCCACACGGGACTGGTGCAGCTGCGACAGATCCACCGAGCGCAAGTCCACGGACCCATCGCGGTCCGCCAGGTCTGTTTGTATGCCCTGGAGAGAGACATAAATATATATATTACATTGGTTAGAAAGAGATAAATGATACTGAGTTCGCTGAATATCCGCTGAAGGAAGACGTTAAGTATTTCCTTGTATAGTATGATTTGTATATTGTTTATGGCTTAACTAATCTTTGACTAAACTACTGCACAACTGTTGTACTATTGTCGATTGTTTCGCAGCCAACTGTTTAGTTGCACAACTAAAAAGATGAGTAGTGTGCGCATCCATTACGCTCATAGGAATCAAAGCGAGACTAAACGTTGTGCGATAGTTTAGTCAAAAGTGCGCTGTATTACTCGTCCCTTTTTCATACATTCCTTATTTCACTATACTATAAATAAATATATAACATGACATCTTACTAATATCATAAATGCGAATGTTGACATAGAAGGATGTTTGTTAGAGTTTGTATCCTAAATTGCTGAACGGATCTCGATGAAATTTGTCTTAGATGCAGAGGATAGTCTGGAACACTTGGGCTATTAATGTTGGTTTTATTTTTTAACTAGCTGTTGTCCGCGACTTCGTCTGCGTGGTATTAGAAAACATACGAACTATATAAATAACAAAAATCTACATATCCCTCGGGAACCGGACATTTCTCGGGGATGAACCTTATCCCATGTGTACTCCAGACTTTGCTTTATATCTGTGCCAAATTTCAATAAGATACGTTGAACCGTTGCAGAATGATCGAGCAAACATTAAAAACTAAATAAATGAATCCCACGGGAACCGTTACTATTCCCGGGATAAAAAGTAGCCTATGTGTTCTTCCAGACTATGCTCTAAACCTGTGCCAAATTTCATGGAGATCCGTTCAGCAATTTAGGCTACAAACTCTAACAAAAATCCATCCATCTATAATTTCACATTTATAATATTAGTAAGATTCCACGAGAATGGAGTTGGGGGCGAAAGCTAGTTTTTTATTAGTAGCTGCGGGCTATTCGTTGTTTAACTCCATATGCAAATAAGAACACCGTCCAAATCGGAAGTCATAACTAAAATAGTGGCTCGCCTCGACCTCTATTCACTAATTATGTTTCTGATACATAGATAAATATCTACTCTTGACCTTATATTTTTATTTATTGTATAACTAGCTGTCGCCCGCGTTTCCGACCACGTGGAATATAAATGTTGTCATTGTGTTCTTTCAGACTATGCCAAACATCTATAGCAAACATCGAGATACGTTAATCAGTGTATTTTTTTTTTATATAAATATACAAAACAGCTGTTTTAATCACACAATTACACAAAATAGAACAAGTATACACAAAACAGATAAATTAGCCACAGGTGCATAACTACATTATATTATAAGAAACAATTTATTAAGGTTAATTTTTCTAAGTACAAACAAGATCACGTTATTACACATAGGCTAAACATCCATCCATCCATCTAAACTTTCGCATTTGTGGTAAGAAGTAAGATTACATACTAGCCTTTGCTCGGGACTTCTTCCGCACGAAATTGAAAAATTAAATAGTAACATAGTCCATGTTAAGCTTATCTATAGCTTACGAATGATAAAAGATTTCAATAAATCTTACATATTTTTTTCAATTCCACGAGGATGAAGTCGCGGGCAAAAGCTAGACATAAACATAAAAAAAACTGACTTGCTTGGTGACGAGCGTGTCCTGCACGTCGTCATCATCTGCGCTGGAGGGGCCGGGGCGGGGGGAGATGATCGTGCATACTTTAGTCTCCTTCAGGAACTCGCCTCGGAGCTGAAAAGTAACAATTCTAAGTCCCATTTCTACTAAGAAGTTTACCTCTATAAACAATGTATCAATTCTTGTCGCATAATGTAAATGTTTTTTTTTTATAACATAAGGTTGGCAAACGAGCAAGCGGCCATCTGAATCCACCGAAATGGAATGCGACCGCTGCCCATAAACATCCGCAATTGCAGATGCGTTGCCTACCCT